CAAATATTTAAAGAAAAAGGGAATTATCTACTTTTGGAAAAGAAATGTGAATAGACTGCCTCAAATAAAATGAGCTAGATCCTGGAAACTGGAAAAAGCAAAAGAAAAATGCGAAAGGAACTGGAGGACTGAAATCTGGGACCTCTAGGCCCCAGTCTCAGGTTGGACTTTGAATTTAGGGCCCATCAATTACATGGATTAATTATTAATTAATGTGCAACTTATTAACATTGAGAAGACTGCAAAGCCCAACTGGTATTTCGGCTGCTTTGTGCTTCTCTTCAGCCCCAAGGAGAAACATAATTTCAATTTTTCTTTTTCTTTTTTGTTTTTAAATGAAAATTTTTGGTGTGGGATACGGTACAAACAACCATTATTTACAAGAGAACCACAAACTTAAAAAAAAAAAAAAATCGAGAGATTCACTAATATTCGAGAAAGATACTTAAAAATTCCAATAAATTGAGTCACATGGCAATGCTAAACTTATACCACTAGTAAAGATGATTTCATCCTTAACATTTATGAATAATTAAGTATAAAAAACTATAAATCACTAGAAATTTCATAGCAAAACTATTGCTATAGAGGAGGAAACAGACTAAAGAGAACTACCCAATTGTAGATCCAAAGCATCATAAAAGTCTTATTTAATACTCTAGCTTCTGGAATAAAAAGTTTAGTCAAGGACTCCACACTCAACCATATCATCAATAGTCGAAATAAGTGTTCCAACCCTTTCGAATCTAATTTGCCTTACATTCGCACCATCCTCAGCATGGGTAAAAGTAAAACCCAATGAAAAAAAAGAAGAAAATCTCACTTTTATTTATATGCCCTAACCGCTGAGAGAAATAGACAGCGATTAACAACAAAGAAAAAGTAAAAGAGAATGAAGAAGATAAAAGGAGGGGAGAGAGAAATGGCTAGGCTTATTATTTTCTTCTTTTACAGGTGAGCTACAAACTTAGATTGAATTTAAAAGGTTTATGAATTTACCACACTTGAATTCTCTAGGTCAACATGGAGTGTTTTTAAATTTGTACCCTTACATAAATATATTGTATTTAACAAAATTAATTTTCTCATATGTTGATTTTAAAATTTAAATCATAAACTTAACTTACAAAATAATACTTAATTATTAATAAATTTAACTTTTGGGGTTTGGTGCACTTTAAAATTATCTTGAAAAAGATTAGCTCAAGATTGGCACAAATTGACCCAAAATTACTCCGATTGTCTAAAAATGATTACTGTAATTGAACCAACCTAATAAACCAAATAGTTCACCACTAAATTCAAAAATTTGGATTCAAATAATTAGAAGTTTTACTTCCTCCAATTATTTGTAAACTTCCCCTCTTCTCCCAAATTCCTCGTGCTCAAAAAAAAAAAAAAAAGGTTACTGTAATTGAAAGATGAACAATGGAACCCCCACACAGATTTTCATATTTCGTTAATGCTTCTTGGATCTAGCAGATGAATTCTTTCATCTTCAAACGAAAATGTATCACCATTATCTGGTAGTACATATTCCCTATATTCCATAATAATTGTTGTTTTTTATTTTTTTTAAATTTAAAATTTTGAAACTATTTATATATTTATTTATATTAACTCTTAAACAAAATTAAAAAATAAAGTAAAATTTTTTGTGATGGAATATTTACTGAAAATAAATTGATAAAAATGCTATTAAAATAAAAAAAAATATTAACCTACCTTAATAAATAAAATAATAAAAATTAATATAAAATAAATTTAAAATAAAAAATAACAATTATTTTTAAAAAATAACAAAGGAAATAAGAAAGGAAGTTATTTTTTTTTTTTAACTACTTGTAAATTTCGAGTTGAACCACATAACCGCGGCACATATAAAACACCATTTAATATCATCCATTAATCGGTCAACACTAATAATATATGGAATACAAATTACAACAGAATCAAGATCAATGAATGCAAGAGAGTTGATAGGTGATGTAATGGTGGATATAGGCTGGCAATGAAAACAAGGCAACATGGAAATACAATGTGCTACAATATAGTTTTTTTTTTAAAAATTTTCCTCGTGGTCTTTTTACACAAACTTTTACGAATCTTAAAATTAATCTCTAACTTAAAAGTTTTAAGAGTACATCTTTCATTTTCACATAATGTATTTAAAAAAATAATTTTCTTAGATGTTGTCTTTAAAACTTAAATCTTAAATTAATTTATAAAATAATATTTATTTATCAATAAATTTGCATCTTAAAATTTGTATATTAAGTTATTAATAATAATAAATATATATATACTAATTATCTATTGGTTTAAGTAAAAAAAAATTAATTCACTTAAATAAGATCTTAAATTTAAGTTTTGTAAATGAAAAAATAAATATTAAAAAAAATTTTAATAGATTTGATATGATTTAATTTTGAATTAATTAAAATCTAATTTAACCACTAAATACTTTAAGTTAATAAAAAAAACAATAAATTAACTTATTAATTCCCTAAATCCATAGGGTGACGAGGCCTATAAATTAACCCCTACGGACCAACCCCATATCTTTAACCATCTGACTTCACATTACTTATCCCCAAAATTATGTTCCCCCACATCAACTACTCAGATTGGTTTTTCACCTATTTTTAACTAAATTAAAAATAATAAATTAAATTAATCAAATCCCAAAACTCAGAGATTGCGTCATCATTAATATTTTTAAGTAGTATAAAAATTTCATGGAATGAATAAACAGGGTTAATAAAAGCTAAAGATTTGATTAAGTTAACAAATTAGTACTGTCACCACCATGTTGTGCCGCTTGGTTCGAGAGGCGAAGCAGGTGAAAAGTTGGGGGAGCATCGATAGGTGCTTTTGGCAGCAGCAGATGGAGGTGGAGCTGTGCTACACTTCCCAAGCAAAGTGGAAGCAAAAGAATTTTATAAAATTGGAAAGGGGCTGCAGGGTAGCAGAAAGGGGCTGCAGGGTAGCAGACCTAAAAGACCGTTTAAGCATATGTGATTTTACTACCATCGCTTTCACTTTGTCCTCTCTTGTGGCACATGCATGAGTTTAAGACATTATTTGTCTATAGAGATTTGAGAATGAATCTTATCTTACTAAGCTAATTATATTATGCACTCACTTCACTCCTTCCAAGTATGCAAGTATCATTACTCATTAGCACGCAGTACTTCCTCCCCTCTTTCACAAGCTATAGATCATACTCAGAAATTATTCATCTTGTGTTCTGTGATATAAGGACATGGGGGTAAACAAATAGTAGATGTGAGAAAATAACCTCACAATTATGAAAGCGATGGTAGTAAACACTTCATACCAGATTGGTGTTTTTCAGTTTAAATTGGAAGTACAAAATGTTAGTTTGGGTTTAAATGTCAATAACATCTTTAGCAGTTGATGGGGTAAAAAATTTCAAGGAAATTATTGATGAGCTACAAATAAAAGCAAGGGCTGCAATTTTTTTTTTTTAATATTTTTGGAAGGACTACAATTAATTGAGCAGAAACAAAGTTTCTATATATCCTCCATACAGGTAGGGGATAATTGATGCATTCATGGGATTGATATTTTGTTTGGTGGAAAATAAACCTTATCCATGAAGATAATTAAATGGATTTAACTTAAGTCATATCATCACACAATTCATTCAAAAGTTATTCACTCCCATATCATATTAATAGTATGTTAGGGTTGAGAGAAAT